GCTGCTGTCAGCCGCGTGAACGGGCATGCCGGTCTCCTGATGGCGTATAGGTGTTGTGGTACGATTAGTGGATTAACTAGCGAGACTGTGGCTCCTGAATCTATCAGTGCATTAACTTCTTGGTTGTTAACTAATACTCGGGCGTAAAATGTAATGGCCTTATCATGGAGATCGTTGCATGAGATAATGGACAGTGTACTTGGTGTGTGGCTGCAGGTGCACGCCTGGTTGCGGTACGGCGGACGACCTCCGGGGGTACGGAAGGGTCTACCTTGCTGGTAATACTGGTTGTAGTTGGGACCTGCGGGACGTGGTCTAACGGGGTAACGGCCCCTTACCGGGGCTAAGCCAGGTCGACGTCATCGATGTCGATATGCGTGCTCTGAGTGGCCTTGAGTGGTGCTGTCCATCCTGAGATAACGATATGCTCTGTCTATTGCATCTCGTAGATCACCGGGCAGTACAAGTGACCGTGACAGTTCGGAGGACGGTAGGGCTTTAATGAAATAATGAAGTATAATGTTATTCTTATCATCAGGTCCTAATGAAGGAAAAGCCACAGTTGTCAGGCGTTCGAGGTCCTGCACCAACTGATTTGAAGTTTCATGCCGTTTTAGTCGTCGCTCTTGTAACTGTTCTAAAGCATCACCAAAAGGAAACGTTCGGCTGAATAAATAAGCCAGGCGATAGCATAGCGCATCAAAGGGTTAATCGGCATGTAGGCCAAAGTCAAGTGCTTTATCCAGTTGTTTAGGCGCGAGGGCCTTAAGAAGTGTCCGTGGTCTGTCATCCTCTGACACCTCCTGCAGATAGAACTTCGCGCGTCGTAGCCACACAATAAAAGACTCCGTACTGTCGTATTGTGGTATCTCGACAGCGCTGGGTGTATTTATTTTGATTCCGGCCATTTAACGGGCTGTGAGAGCGGTCGTTGCGCTGCCACCACTGTAGTAGGCGGGCCACTCACTTGTCTTGTCTTCTCTACTGTAATGATATTTGAGGCTGCTACTCCTTCGAGGGATGACTTGAGCTCAGTACCGTATATCGACTCTGAATTGCATGGATCTTCAACGTTACTCATTCTTCAATCAGAAACTGAAGCTAGCGCGAAACTCAGTAGAAGGAGAACGGTCTGCACACAAGAGATTTATGTAGTGAAATAGGGTCAAAGGGGACAGGAGGCGTATAGTCTCAATGTAGATGGGGGATAACGGCGGTCAAAAGCAATTATTAAGCGCTTCACTGCTGTGGTTCTGAGGTAGGTACTACATTCATTGGAGTCGTCTCCTCAACACCGTTTAGACACTCCTTCTTGTTTGTAAAGTGAAGAAGAAAAAGGCTCGTCCGAAGCACAGCACCACAGATCGCCGTTTTTTCTTCTTTTTGACTTCCCGCCAACTTCACCCCAGTATACCACTACAATTTAACGAACGAAGCTAGTCAATCTAAAATTGAACATGCCCAAGGGCATTTTGACTGAAAACTCTTGAGCATGTCACATCAAAATGCTTTCTATTCAAATAGGTGCTAGCCAACTGACCTGAAATTTGCATGGTTTTGGAGATTAGAAGCTGGCATCTGCCTCCTCCTTCGTATTAATTATAGTATAAATCTTTACTAGATTACAGTCCTTACCCCTGTCAGTCGTTCATGAAATCTTCGCAATTCTACTTAATTACACCTCTTGCCGCCTTCCCTACCTCTAAACGCTCCCTCGCCTTTGTGTCCAGCCACACTTCGGTTTGGAATAGCCTGCTAATCGAAGTTAGATCAAATTGTCTATATTCCTTTAGGAGAAGACTGCCTCTCTATCTTAACGACTTTTATTTTCGTCATCATTTCCGAGCAGCCTTCCCTTCGACCACTGGGCATTTAGGATGCCGCTACCAAGTTACCTTTTCCGCTCCCTTTTCGTATTCTGAATGTTTCTTCGCTTTCCGAATGCCCTTGACATAAATCTCTTGTTTTTCTGTCTGTGCATCGTATCCTTCACGAAGCGTGATGCCACCCTAACCGACCTCTCAGAGAAGTGGTTAGTGTCATATTAACTTGCGCCCTCTAAAATGCCTCAGTTATGATCGCCTCTAACGCTTACCAGCATTCCGCTTTGGCCACTTAAATATCGCAGTATCACCTATATTCTCTGTCTGCCGTTGCCCAGCTTAACCAGACGCACTATAATGGCGCCTCGTTCTCCCTTGCTGATTTGTCTTTGGAGTTTCATCCTACCTCTGAGGACAGCCTACCCTGTTTCCGCCTATCCCTATACGAAGTCGTTTTTTTACCTTGAACATTTTATTGCGAGTGGGCACTCTTTAAACTATCCCCCCATTGCTTCGTTTGTAGTTCACAATTTTTTTCTAAAAACTTCCAAATTGGAATTTGGGGATATCCAAACCAAAAGTAGCGTAGGCAAAATGGAAAATTGCGTGCGGAGGTGAATAATATTACTCACTTTACCTGGCCTTCCGTGCAGACCATTACTTTCTAACTTGTCTACATTTTGTCACTTGAGTCAGTGTGAAACTTTATAAATAAAACCATTTTTATATTAGGAGGACATTGTCAATCACAGCAAAATTGTCATAATTCAGCTCCAACATTCGGTTCTTGAATACATCACTTGTGGATTGTACACTAGTTTTAGGATGTGTTCCAATATATTACATACAACAACGTTTTTACTGGCTGTATAGTACTGTTTGCGACCGCAGACTAGCCGTAGTAGCTTCACTAAGGGTTCCATCAATATCCTCAATAAATACATACATGTCAGTGGCTATCTTACGGATGGTAGACACAAATTACTTATGTGTCCAGGACGAGGTCACAAGCCAATGCACATAAAAAGGCCATCGAAAGCTTTCCCTTGACTAAGTTTTAATGCAGCTGTGGTTCTTAGTCGTGAATGAGGTTGTGACTGCTTATGTCATGGCGAAGTATGAAAAGAAACTGGGCTGCGTAACTATTGCCAGACATCGTTTTCCCGAAAAGGATTACTAATATCCAGCTCCGAAATTCAGTCATAAATCTGCATAGCATACGTCATACATTACCTCACATACATTGCAGAATGCCCCAATCATAGTTAAACACTAAAGTTTCAAATTATTTGTGTACAACTGTGTATAAGTGAAAATGCACTTTAGCTGGGGCATCCAAGACTCTGCCCATCAACCTCAATATATAAATAGGCGCAACGGGGATTTAAACACAAAGTACTGTATAGTCGGCAGAATTGCGCTGCGCCTAGCATGCCATACTCTGATAGGAAGACAAATTCAAGGCTACTGTGAAAGGACGCAGGCGGCCTATAACCTTCAACGATAAACAAACATACATCATTTCATGCATGCGGAATGCAACCGGGAAGGGTTGTAGACAAAAAATGTGCTTGGTCAAACGATACCTCGAATTTGTTTGCACTCCCACAAAAAAGTCTTCTAGTTATTAATCGTTAGTGAAGTTAATTAAAATTCGTAACGAGGGTGATTCGCTTTCGCTCCCTTACATCTCCACGTTTCTTGACACACTTCCAGAGGGCTACTTTGCCTAAGAGCAAAATGTCGACTGTTTATACCAGATACAAGGCTCTACACCTAGTCTAGGGGAAATTAGCTAGGGTGGCGCGTGAACGTTTTGGTGGGATTTCTCTAAAAAAAGTCGCTAGAAAGTAGAAATGCGCCCACATGGCCCCGAGGAACGAAACCGTTCTGCTTGGTGGCAGTGCGCAGGTTTAAAGGTCTTGTCTGAAACACAAGCTAAACTCCAGTTGTTCCGAGATTTCGTACCCTCGAAATTTTTGCAGATGGCGCCATTTCACTCAGCAGTCCGCGTACACCCGTGGTGGGCACTTGGAAATTTGATCTGCCAGTTAAAAGGTGGACTCCCAGGTCGGAGTTGAAATATTTACCCAAATGATAAGCCGATGAAAAGGTTCTTACACAAACTCCGTACCGCCTGCAAATGCAAATTAATCAACTTTTGGAGTAAATATTCGGAGTTTTCCTCTCCACAGGTGACGATTGTTTTAGTTCGTCGCACACGGGAAAACAGACCCGAGTTTCGATTTCCGTCTCTTGCGCTTCCTTTTGGCAGGATGGCGTTGGCTTCACAGGCTGCGCTTCTGGACGAGTTGATGGGGAAAAATAGGAACGCTTGCGGTCCAGAAAGTCTGAAGACTCCACACTGGTCGGACGAAGACATGTGCAAGTCCTTTTTATGTGGTTTCTGTCCACATGACCTGTTTGTGAACACAAAAACTGACTTGGGTCCCTGCGACAAAACGCACGACGAACGTATGGTGGAGATGTATAAGAAGAGCAGCCGCTACGGCAAGATGGGTTATGAGGAGGAGTTTTATCGTTATCTATGCTACTTGCTGGAAGACGTCGACAAACGGATTCGCCGTGGTCACGATCGCCTTAACGTTAGTAAGTCGGTCAATCCTGCTGATCCGGACGCCGCCGCCGAGAAGAAAGAAAAAATCGAGTCAATTACCCGAAGAATCAACGATCTCGTCGAGCAAGCTGAGAAACTCGGCACTGAGGGCAAAGTCGATCAGGCCCAGGGCGTGTTAAAATTGTGTGAGCAACTGAAATTCGAGCGGTCGCAACTCGAGGGTGACGTCCGTCCAGGCGTTGGGCAGGTAACGATCTTTTATGTACTGTAACCATAATTTAAGGCAAAGGAGTTAGAGGTATGTGAGATTTGTGGTGCTTTTCGAATAAAAGATGATGCTCCGCAACGGGTCGAAGAACACCTTTCTGGGAAGATGCATCTCGGCTATGCAAAAATACGTGATTACGTAAGGGAATACGGTGAAAAGCGCCTTTTGGCCTCTAAGGAGAGGGAGCGAGATTCTCGTGCATCAGACCGCGGTGCTTCCAGGCATCGCGACCGTCATCGCAGTCGTGATCGGAGCAGGGATCGAAGGTAAGTTCTCCTCCTTTTCGTCTATTTTCTACTATGACGACAGACTTTGATGTTTCTTCGTCTGGATGCTTCATGGATTACCACAGGTATTTACTGTAGTTAAATTTCACCCAATAGGCTGCTCAATTTAACCGCGGAGTCGCATATAAAGGTACCAAAGTTATTTTAAGCGGTTATTGTGCAAGTGTAACACTCTTTAAATTCCTTTCGCAAGGGTTTGTCAACTGTTGCGGGTATTAGGGAACGTGCGCGTTGTAGACCGGACGGTCTGACTAGAAGGTAACTCGTGTTGCTAGTAACAGATGTAAACTGCTTCGCCCTCCAGTCTGCGCCAAACCCCCGTTAATGTTACCTCTGATACTTTAGGTCACCCGGCCACCGAAGTCGACATCATCGGAGCGGAAGCCATCACAAGTCAAATCATGGCTACCGTCATCGACGAGATAGGTCATCTTCGCGGTCCAAAAAGCACCAAGATCGCCACAACCGCCACAATGACTACAAAGATCACAAATATTCCAGGTCCTCTAAACGGAATGTCTCACCATTCAGTGCCGCCAGACGTCCGCCAGAAGGTGCCGAGGATGATTGACTGTAATTATCTCTTTTTTGTACATATTTTAATATATTCTGCACAGTATTGTCTCGTGTGGCCCCCGATTTTGTGCTGTTGTGATTTGTCGACCAGGAGTGAGGTTCCACGCCAGTCGCGGTTTTCCGTATACGCATGATCAACGCTGAGGTCGATTACTCCTACATCTTTCTGTTGTGACACGTATCGGCAACCTTGACTAGGATAGCAAAAGACTGGGCCGATGAAAGTCTAAACATTTACCTACTTAACATTGCAATCGCCCATTCAAATGACGCTGGTAAGTGCCTTTGGTGGCTGTTTCTACTCGGACATAGGGTTTCTCAGTTGGAGTTGCGAGAGGTTAAGGAGTCCGCTGCCAAATTATGGGGCATTTCCCTTGGAATTCTGCGTCGGTACGAAGTCTGTGGCAGACACCAGAGACGAGCTTGTGGTGACGGTTAGATGCCGTTATAGTGAGTCCGTTGCTGTGGGAGGAGTCCTTAAATCAGACTGGCTCTTGACCGCGGTCACCGGCAAGCAGTCGTTGGCGATTGTTTTAAAATACGAGCGGTCACTAATTCAGTTGTCCGGAATGACCGAAGAATATGTTGGGACTGCGCTGACCAATCCGGTCTGCGGACATGCCTGTCATGGGTCCGGTGACTGCAGTCTCGACAATGGGCTGGGAACGTGCTCGATTTGCCATTCCAACTCCATGGGGCCTATCCACAAACTCTGTTCCCGTGGGCATGGGTGAGGATGTGAGAGGCTCCAGTCGTCAGACGACATATGCAAGCGTTGGTGTAATACGTGAGTTGCCTCTGAGGCGCTCCTTTCAGGCCGTAGTTCGCATACCACCAACGCGTGAGACGCCGTGGAATGTCCCATTCCCACTGGTGCCGCTGTCAACCCGTGTGTAACGACCCCTTTTGGATAGTCATGTCGGGACTTCACTTGTGCACCACGAACTTTTCGCTTCTGCGACTCCGCTGTGCTACCGTCACGACTGTTGCGCCCTACGTCCTGGCACTGGATACTGATGACAAGCAGAAATAGG